ATTAAATAATTAGAGACAAATTAAAAGTAAGAAAGTGTAAATGAATTAAAGAAAACTATTATCAATTTTATGTTGGCAATATTTTTTTAGTTCTCATGATTATAAATAATATTCTTAAATAATGTCATATACTTTTTAAAATTCAATTATATTTTCTTACCTATTTTAAAAAGAATTATATTTTTTCATCATTTTTTTTCAAAAGAATAGTCTTCTTTTTATAGTTTGATTTATTTTTTATTAACAATTTATCTCTATCATAATTAATATCGATAGAATAATATAATATTCTAATTCCCTTACTTGTAATTCAGAATTTTATTGATTGTAATTATTTTAAGTTATTAATATTTTTTTATATAATTCTTAGTTTTATAAAAAATATTATTTAATATATACTTTTAGTATAATCTCATAACCTTTTTATAAATAATAATTATTTGTCTTAATATATGAAGATATATAAGTTTCTGTTTATAATTGTATATTTTATATATTACATTTTTATTTATTTCATTAAAAGAATAATCAATCAGGTTTTTTATATTATCTATTTATCGTTTACTGGCATTTTAGTTGACAAGAGGTGTAAATAAAAGTTGCTTCATCCAAATATAATAAGTTATATTTTTCTTTTGTATAAAAATAACAAATAGATGTATAGCTTTATTTCTTTTCTTCGATTGGGTTTAAAGAAATCCAAAAATACTATCTTAGCATTCCAAAGATTATATTTTCTTAGCATTCTAAAAATTAAAATAACCTCACAATCTCTATAATTCTTTAACCAATCGATATGATTTTGGCTTAGATCAAGTAACTTTTTGAATATAAACTGTTAATAATTTATTCTTCTGATCAACCTATTGAGCTTTCTGAAATACCTAATAAAGAAAAGATAGCTTTTATATAGCCTTGTTGTAATTTTTGTCCAATAAGACTTTGAGTTTATTAATTTTTTTATTGGTCTTATTCTTTATCGTTTTAAGTGCTCCATTGAGAATTATGCTTTCTTGTTCATTTAGTTAGGTGTTAATATCATTTTTTCATCCAAATAAATATAATTTAAATTAGAAATTCTATTATTCATAAACAAATCCAAGACGTATATAGTTATAAAATATATGAAAATAAAATTAGTTTATATTTTTTAATCAAATGATTGTTAGTATAAGTTCAACAAAGATTAAGAAATTTTTTTTGTAGCCAAAAATAGGAGAATTTTATCAATACTATTTTGTTTTGCAATAAGATTCTTAATTAATGCAAAAAATGCATCCTCAAATTCGGAATGTATAATTTATCAATTAATGCTGAAAATATACAAAATAAAAAGGAATTGATAATATTAAGAATTTCATAATAAAATATAGATCAATTTCATGAAACTATACACATTTTGGTACACTATCATTTGAAAATAAATATAACAACAATGAGTTATTTTTTTATATCTTTTTTTATAATAAATTATAATATATATACCATTTAAAAAATGAGTTGATTTTGGCACTTTATTTAATTCTTTTTCTATATAATGATTTCCACCATCTTTAGATTTTTTTATATTTATATAGTTTAGATTCCTCTTACACAATCACCAGGTTTTATAATCCAAAAATTATTTATTCCATCAACTTTGTAAGATACTTTTTTAAAAACAAATGATATCTATATAATTTTCTAATTAAAAATTAACTTGGATTTGAACCTTTATCAAACTTCTAAACATAAGAATATGCAATTAAACTAAATTTTCATTATTAAATTACTTTAATCTGGTTTTAGATATATATTAATGGCTTAATTCAAAAATCTTATCATCATAAATTCCATCTTTCAAATATCTTTTCATACCTGATAATCGAGAGAAGACTTCTGACATTATTGAACAATCAAATTTAATTTCTGAAACTTATTATTAATCTTCTAATTCTTATGCTGTATAAATATTTTTATATTTCCTTTTAACAGTTCTTTTCATATTAATTCTTCTAATTTTTTTATTTACTTCCTTCATTTTCCATTCCTCAAATATTCTTTCTTTAATCTTCTTTATTTCACTTTTCCAATTTATTCTCAACACACTAATTGCCTTTTTTAATATTATTGTAACTGCAGTCCTTTCATATTCTTTTAGAAAATCCTCTCTATTTATTGCATTCCCTAAATCAAATGCTCTTGGAAAGAATGTACTTGTATTATTAATTTAACTTTTATAAATAGTATTTAAATACTTTTTAAAATTCTTAAATAAATATCATACCCATATTCACATAGTTTTTGAAATTTGCTCATAAACATGATTTTGTTATAAGTTCTCTAATATTACTAAAATGATTGTAAAATTATCCATCGAATAATATTTTAAAAACATCAAGGATTTTCTGTATAAACCCATTTCAGATCAAAAATTTATTAGTTAGAAGAGTTACAAGCCAACTATGTCTTTGTAAACATCTACGAATATATTTATCTTAAGAATTAAAAAAAAACACTTTTGTTGCAATTGAAATGTTCTATCTTTTAAAATAATCATTCATTAAAGAACGATGATTAAAATAAGTCTTATTTTTCACTAATGATTCTACTTCTGTTTTTTTGTTTAAGACTACTTTCTTTAAGATATTGTAGTTTCTCTGCTGCTTGGTTATCTTGAAAGTTTAGATTAAGAGAAAGGATTCTAAATTGCTGGTTTCATTAATTTCCTATATATTCAAACACAACTTACAATGGAGTTTCTTCCTTTGATTATCTTTTTATTTCTGGCAGTGATGGCGATTGTGTAGTAATTTTTGGTTTTGGTGCAATTCATTATTTCATATTTATTATTTATATTTTTTTTCTCAATTTACTTAAACTTTGTAATAATATATTATTATTCTTATTTTCTCCTAAATTTAAATTCAATTTTTAATTAAATACCTAGATGACAACCTTATAACTCTTAACAATAAAATCAAAATACTTGAAAATAATAAAAATACTACTAAAAACCTTGATCTTTAAGTTATTTATAAACACATTTACAATTTTAAATAAGACTCTGATTTATTACTACTAGAACATTCTTTAAAAATTAATTTTGGAAATATTTTTAAAACTCAAGTTCAAAATGTTGAAAATAAAGCTATATAAATATTTAAAAAGGTAGGTGAAACTGCTAGAGATTTAAATCATATTTACTTATATGTTAAATATATTTAGCAAATTAATTGATAGGATATTTAAAAAGCTTACTTAAAAGAATTGGGGTTTGAGACAGAGAAACTCATTACAGAATTTAGAAAAATGGAACTATTATTTCATAATTACGTTTAGATACAAATGACATAACTAAATAGAGATCTATAATTCAAATGATTACAAAATTATGTCCATAAGACTTAAGATTTAATTCAGAATTATTCTCCTTAATGTTAATTCCATCTAAATGTCTTAACAAACTTTAATCAATTGATATTTTCTGATTAGAAAGATTGGCAGATGTTATATTATCTTAATGTTAGAGTTAAGTAAATGCCAATTAAAATTAGGTTCATGATTGGCTAGCTCTCTTAACTTGTATTATTTAATATGCTTATGAAGGAAATTCTATTGGATTATTTTTATTATTACATAAAGTGGACTTGGAAAATCTTACTAAAACTTTTTATGAATAGTATATTATAAAGTTATATGACATAATCCTTTAGAAAGTTTGTAATTCAATTAAAATTTACAGATTAATCACTTTATTTGATTCCTCATGCATCAAAATTAAGTAGTCTTTAAAAATTATATTTATTATTGACTTATTAAAAATAAGGATATTGTTCTCCTTATGAATTAATAAGATAATTAAGAGAACCTTTTTGCAATACAAATGATTAATTAGATGTAAGTGAATTTCTACATTATTTTCTTGAAGATCTATTGGATTTATTGCCAAAAAATTTATAAATACCATTAGAAAGGATATTCTTTGATATCATAGATCATGTATAGAATGTTTTAATTGTCCTAAGAGATAACCAACATATCGTCCTCAAGAAAAGTTTTTAGGAATAGATTTATATTTTAATGATGAGGAAGATAATTAAGATCTTTATGATATGATTAGAAAAGCATATGAAAAAGAATAAATAGAATTTACTTGTGATAGATGCATATAAAAAACTGATAAAGTTAATAAATCTTAATAATTGATCTAATTACCATCCGTCTTATTTATGATTGTGCATCGGTACATATAATATCATATTTAAGTTTTACTTTCAACATTATCAATCAAAAAAATGTTAACAAAAGTACCATTTAGAGTTTCGAATTGAATTTAGAGATATCTTTAATAAATAAAAATTAAATAGTAGAGATTGTGTCAATGAATTTATGCATTTATTATCCATATGGTATGAATTATTTAAGTTGTATGCTAGATAACTTCATAAACTAGGTGTTTGGGTAACTTTTGATGATACAATGATTTCAAATTTAGAATATGATAGTGATCAACTTCTTAAAGAACTTATATATTTAATATATAATATATATATGATATATGAAGAGACACCAAATTTATTGTTTTATCAAAATTAATCAAGTTAACCTTTAATTTTAAATAATTGATCGTATTATTTAATTTATTTTTTCAAAATATTTTGCAACACATCTTTTCCTATTTTTCTTGAGGTTGCTATTGAATTTCAATCTTTACTGATAGTCTCTTATCATAAGTAGACTATAATTAAGGTTACTTACTAGTTGGTTATTCAGTAACCTTTACTATTCCATTTAATTTATCTTAAATATCCATAACAGATATTATTAGTTTTATAAATATACTCATACTTCTATCCATTCCTAAATTTTCAGTTGCTCAACATTCTGAATAATAAACATTTTATGGTAAATTTTTAAATATTGGTAAAGCATTTTTTTAACCTAATACTGCTACCTTATATTTAGCACATTTTTCATTTATTTAATTAAAACCGTGACCGTGTATTTAATGCATTTTCAAGGGTTACCATATTATTTAATGAAAATGCTCTTATATAATGGTTACTCGAAAGCAGAAATGTTCTAATCATGGCACTAAACATCAATTTTATATAAAAAACATATTCTTTATTTCTCCAGAAATTATCATTACATCAATCTTTTATGATTGTTTTATTTGGTAATAGAATCCTGGAAATAAAGAAATCTACAGATTATATTTATTTATCGTTAACTTTTGATTCAATATTCATGAGACATTCCATTAGTTTACTTTTACCTACAGATTGATCTCCAATCAAAATTACTCTAAGTAGATCATTTGCAATTACTTAATTTTTCTCTCCTTTTATTCTAATAATTAGAAACACTATCCTATTCCATATTTGTTAATTATTTATATAATTTTAAAATATTAATTCATAAATCACTTAGAAATCAGTTAATGATAAAGTTCATGAAATTCTTTTTCTAAACTTGATGAAGTTCGAAGTTTTTATTCAACTTTAAATGCTTCCAGTTTATGATGACTAAAATTTAATGGTTAAAAACAATGTAATAATTTTATTAATGTTCTAAATAAATAATCCTTTTCTTCTATTTAAACTGTGTTATAATTCACTTTCTATATTATATGATCTATTAGACTTAAGTAAATTTTGTTAAATGCTTCTGAAAATTTATGATTGTTTTCATTTTATTACAATCCTTCTCTATAAAATTCAAATTATTTCTTTATTTGTATTTTTACTTTAAATTTAATAAAAATACTTATCATATGCCTCTTTAATTTTTGTATAGAATTGTTCGAAACCCTCTGAATTAGATTTAAAATTATTTAACACTTAATAATAATTATCACTTTTCTTAAAAAGTTCAAAATTATTTGGCAATATGAGTACTTACATTAACATCTAATATAAAATATTTTTTAATTTACTTCTCCATTTAAAACTCTTAAATAAAATTTAATTTCATTTAAAATGTATTTTGTAGTAATGATACGATAATGTTTTATTTACTCATTTGAAAATTAAACAATTTTGTGAAGTCTCGAAACCTCTAAGGTTAAACTTCTGATAAATCCAAGAATATCGGATACATAAATAAAGTAATTATAGACACTTAAAATTTTTATCTCATTGTCAAGCTTTTAGTCAATTTTTATGAGTTTCGATAAAGTAACTTAATCTTAAATTAAACTTTATTGAGGTTCTATCAATCCTACAAGATTATCTGCAAATAATTCTTGCCAACTAATTCTTTAATTTTAATCAACTACAAGCATTTTTTACAATAATATTATAATATCTGGTTTAATTGTTGGTAGATATTCAATAGGAAGCTTTTTAGAATTTTCCAATTTACTTGGTTAAGAAACATCAAAAGGAATAAAACCATATAGCATTGAATAAAGTATAATACCTAATGACCAAATATCAGCTTTTGAAGAATATTTTCCAGTTGTTATTTCAGGTGCAGCATATAAAGGAGTTCCTAATTTTGTATGGTTAGCACTATAATTTAAGTCATCTAACAATTTAGAAAAACCAAAATCAGCTATTTTTGCAATTCCATTAGAAAATAGAATATTTTCTGGTTTCAAATCTCTATGCATTATATTTTATTCAATTAATTCTTTATATCCAATAATAATTTGTTTAAAAATTTAAAGGGCTTCCTCTTCTTAAAGAGGACTAAATTTTAATTTTTCTGAAAGAGATTTTTCTTCACAAAGTTCTAAAATAAAATAAAAATAATTGTCATCTTCAATAACATCAATCATTCTAATTATTAAAAAGTAATAATTACTTTACTACATTTTAACTTTATAATTTCTTTTGGTTTTCGTATTCTCTCATGGGCTTCTTTATTTTTTCGGCTATTGTTTTTTCCATGATTTTGATAGCAATTTTTTCATTTTCATCTTCTTTCATATAACCCTTATAGACAATGGCAAAGCTCCCCTATTATTTAATTTTATTAAATATACACTTCCAAGAACTTATCTTAAACATAATACATATTTATTCTAAAGGATTTCAATATCATAATTTTCCTTAACCTCTTAAATCTTTTTAATTATAAATACACTTTACTTTAATCTTTGAATTTATTCTTAAATCAATATCCTAGTTTTTATTTTGTTCACGAATCGGAAATTTTGATCTATATTTTTCTAAATCTCTTCTTTATTTTTGCATAAAAAAAAAGTTTTTTTTTCTAATTAAAAAGTTTTTTTTTCTAATTAAAAAGTTCTTATTGTGATAATATAATTATTTCGGAACTCTCACAAATGATTTTAAAATTTTAATATTTGAGGGAAAAAACCAAGTATTTAATACATTTAAATAATATTATATCGGTTTTATTTAATTTCTACATTTTTTTATAAATCAAAATATTAAGAGAAGGGTAATCAAAAATATTTCTATTATGATAAAATATTTTGAATTGCTTTTATTTATAAATATAAAGAAAGTCTTAATATAATAATTACAATTATATTAATAATTTGTATATTAAAAATATATTGGTTTTTACTCACATCATAATCTATCTGTAGTGGCACTAACTTTCATGCCATCTTACAATGAAATAACATAAATTTTGTAAGTCTGTATTTAATGTCTTCAGAGCAAAAATTGGTTAATTTGTTACTTTAGTAACCATCTTTGAATGCCTATTTTAAGACTTTATTTTATAATATGGTTTAAAATATTACAGATACACTGTCTCTTACTTTTAGATTTTTGTTATAAAATTGAATATGGGGATAAGGACTTTAACATTGTAATGATGATTGATGAGCTAAAGTTGCAATCAATCCATCAAAACTAACTAATAAAGTTTTAACAAATATTTCTGTTTCTTTATCTTATACAAAATCTTTGAAATAAGGTGATTATCTAACATTTTGATCATTTTGACTAATAGTTAACAATTCTAATTTAAGATCTTTTTCTGGAATGAAATGCTATTCCCCATTTTCAAAAGTTTATTTCAAGAAGATGTTAAAAATTTTAGAGAAATTCTCATCATTTTTAAACTGTGAATTACCAGCATTCTAAACTATAATTAACTCATATAATTAGGTACTTTTTGAATCATTAGAAAATAGATCCAATAAATCATCTTCTATATATTCATGATCGATTAATATATCATCATCCATGAATCCATTTACTTATAAAAGTTTTCAAAGGTTTTAATTTTTTTAACAAAGGATTGAATTCTTCCAACTGAACTACATGTTCTCTTCATGGCAGTAATAAGCAATTCATATGAAAATGGTATTTTTAATTCATTTTAAAATTTTTTACATACATTTTGATAGAATATATTACTTCTTCTGGTTATGATTATGTTCAATTATAATAACATAATTGTCTCTAATTTTAGCATCTTCAAGATCACTAACAATTTGAGTTTATTAATAGAATGATTAAAAGTTCTTGCAAATGTTGATAATCCAATTCCATTACACAAATAGGTATAATTAAAAAATACATTTTCTGGGTTTTTTTATGGATCTTCACCTATGTATACAGGTATTCTGATTCATAAGTTGACCAAGATACTTTATAATCTTTGACAGATTTTAATTAATTGCATTTGAAATTCATATTGTTAAATATGTTGTGTAATATAATAGTAACAAAGTCATTAAAATTAAACTTGATAGTTTAATCAATTTTTGTTATTGGATTCCAATATCTTCTGACCTTATTCATAAAAATTCTAGTAAAATCTAAATGGTTTTGGAGGTTTAACTTATAAGGATTTAATAAAATATTTGACGTCCTTTTCTATATGTTATTCGTTCAATAACATTGATAGAATGTGTTTATAATTTAAATACTGAGCTGTATGAACAAGATGATATTAATCATAGAAATATAAGATAACACCTGCTGATTCTAATTCAATATAACTCCTTTGTATTCTCTCTATTTGTTTTTGGAGCACTTTTCATTGTAGTTTAAATTATGAAGCTTTTGAATGTGGCAATCCATAAAAATAAAATAATTATTATGCTTATTCGAAATTAACATCAAGAATTCCAATAAATTGATACATATCATCAGGCAATATATTAGAGATTCTTAATTGGTAATATGTGCATAGACTCTATGATTGTGGAAATAAAATTTCAAATTTTTGATTTTTTCTTAGCTGACTTACAAGATTCTCTATAAACAATTTATTTTGATCATAAATCTGTTTAACTTGATTATTACAATAATGCAAACTAAATTATTAAGTCTTTATTATACAATTAGTATTGAAAATTGTTCTTATATTATGACATTTAACAATATTAAATATTAAATATATTTGAAGTATCAAAAATTAATGTTTCTCTTCATAAACACAGTTTTGAAATCTTCATATAGCTTAATTCCTATTTGATTTCTTTCACAATATAATCTAACTTTAGATCTATTTAGATCTATAAAAAGACAAGCGAATTTATTTAGATGTTCTACAAAAATGCAGATTAAAGCGGTGATTTCTCTATTTCTAAAATATTAATTTAATTACCTCTACTCATTCATAAATTTTTAGTTTTTATATATTGATCTCTGAAATTCATCTTTCTTGTTATTTCAAAATAAGAAATTATATGGGTATTTTATCTTTTGAGTATTTCAAGACTAGGATTAGATTTGAAAACTATTCTTTCATCATAGTAATTTATTAATTCTTTTACTCAGATTAATCTTAATACCTATTACTTGCTAAACAGTTATTTGAATCATTTGTGTAATATAGAGTTTATTAAATTTAGAATCTATTTAGAAATAATGATCAAATGAAGAGAAGGTTTTAAGTTCATTTAATATTACTATATAACAAATATTAAATTGCATTTTAAACTATTCATAAGATAAGCTTATACAATCGTATTTCATCTTTAAATAAATAACTTCTAATCTGCTTTATTTAGAGTATTTAAAAGGAAACATTGGAGTGTGCAAAAGAATTGTCTGAGTATTCAGAAGGCTTGTTTTCATCAGTCGTTTGTCGTTGAGCACTCATTTTGTTATTTAGGATAGGCTCCTTCATTCTCCACTTTATAATTTGATAACTCATTCTATTTATTAATCAAAAGCCCATCTAGATTCCTATATTTTTCCTTTGGCTTACTTATATTCACCATAACCATGTCTTTAATTATTGAGCCAGTCACCATTGTAGTAAGATTTATCAACATACATCATTTCACCCTTTCCATGCTTATTACCACCATCTTTCCAATCTCCATCATATTCATCCCCATTACTCTATTTGTATTTACCCCTTTCCGTGTCTTTTATCATTCACAATATCTCCATCATATTCACCATTATCATATTTCACCTTTCTTTTTCATTTACTTATTTAAATTAATATCTAGTACTTTTACATTCATTTAAAATAGACTTAATAGAATTACAAATAATAATATATATAAATTTTACAAATACTTTTTTTTTCTATTCCTTTATGAAGAATAAGAGAATCAATCTTGTATTTTTAATTATTTTTTTTTAATGGATTAAAGTTATGACAACAATAGATATTCAATAAATCAGTAAAACCTTAATAATACAATCAAAAGAGCACTAAACTACCTATAATATTATTAAAAAACGATTTTTTTGAAATAAGATTATTAATAGCATTAATTTTTTACTTTAAAATCAAGTAATTCAACCTTTCTGATAATTTTTTGGAGGAATTTCATCTCTAAATAATTTTAATAAGTTCAATATTTCCAATTAGAGCTTCAAAGTAAATGTATATGAAAAATAAATTTTATTAATATAATTTCAAGAGTCCATGACTTAAATTATACATTCAATGCTGAATTTTAGAAAAAGAAATAAAACCTTATCAACCTGAGGATAGATATAAAAATAAGAAGTTAATTTGTATGAATATTTAAGATATGAAATATTTATATAGTAATTATTAGGATTAATCAATATAAGTTATAGAAAATTAATCATTTTTGTCTATTTGTCCTCTAAAAAAATACTCTACATAAGTTGATAGGATATAATTCAGTAAATTTAGTCTTATACAAATGAAAAATATATAAGCTACGGAGAAATGGAATAGTACAAATTGCATTTGATGGTCTTTTTAATTGGTATTGAAAGCTAAACTCTAAATGAATTTTGATAAAACTAAAAAAAAATTATTTGAAACGTTTTTTAATTAAAGATGCAAAACTATGATCGAAGAATCTGTATTTAGTAAATTTAGATTGGTCTGGTTATATTTTGTAAATGTTTTTGGTCTCCTTTTATTAACAGCATGATTATTAATATGATAGGAAGGATTTGCTAATTGTAAATGTGGATTATAAAAAAAATTCTATAACACTATAAAGGAAGAAGTTAAAAAAATGATACAAGAACTTTTTACTTTGTATATTTATGATTGATTATTCAAATTATATTTATAATTTTAATTAACAATATAATTAATTTCAGAAATAATATCTCACCAAATATAAAAGTAAAGATATAATATCTACAAATTGCACTTAATAAATTTTAATATTTATTTGATAATTTTCCTATTATCCTTAAAACTCAACATCTAAATTTATTCAGTAATATGGTTTCTAAAATATATTCCTGTCTTAGTGTTTGTAAGATAACAATTAAATTCAATTTTTTATTGTATAAATGTTTTAAGTTCACTATAAAACTATCAGAATAATTTATTAGAAATTAAATTTACAGATTATGAAAGCAATTTGAAGGATATATCAAAGATTCAGTTTCTTCAAAAAATTATTTTTAATATGTGAAATAAAATTCTTCTTGAAGAATTTTTCTTTTTATACAATTTAAAAACTATTTTTTTTAGTGAAAATGATAAAGATAATAAGATTGTCTTCATAGATGTTTAAGAACTTTAAGGGAGTATTACAACAAGAGATAAAATTAAAATAACAGATTCCTTACTATAAATATAATGAATATTCTATTTTTTTGTATCACAAATAAAGTTATTCTTTTGAAAAAAACTACTTAATTAAAATTTTGACATTTTCTGATTTACAAAATATGGATTTACTAACTGGTTTCTTTAAGCTATGATTATTATTTTTATAAGTTAAGAAGAAAGTTATATTTAACCATTTATTGGTAGAAATAATCGAAATCTATAAGAGAGTGTACATTATCCAAATAATTTCTTTTTATTCTTCAATCTCATTTTTCATCTTCTTTAATCATAACAGAATTCTTGAAAAATGGCTTGAACCTATTTGCAAAAGTATCTCTGTATATTCTGTTTCAAAATTTGTATCATTTATTCATTAAAAAAAATAATGACATTTAATGATAGGAGTTAAAAAGAAAAAAATCAAATAATCTTCTATTGGTATAAACTCAAGAGAATTCACAAAATGTAATAAAATTTTATTAGGTAGATATTGTTCAATAAATATGTAATGTAAAATTATTAAATAAATAAGATTTTATTTGAATTAAGTTTTTTTAATACAAAAAACTTACAGATTCAAATACAATCAAAATTTATAGGTTGTAAGTTAAGCCTTCAAAAAAAGTATTTAAATTAACAAAGAAAGATTCAAGTGAAGATCTTTTTAATAACTCTAGCAAAGAATAATCTATAGGACTGTAAGTAGCTCAAATTTAATGATAATTAAGTTTGGCAATTTTTTATTTAATTCCTCGTTTTAAACAAACTAATTAATCAATCTAGTAAATAATAAATTTTAAATAGAATTTGATCAAAAGACTATTACTATATGTGGAAATATTAGATTTGATAACATTGCTAAACAAAAGAAAGACACATTTATACAGGAAAGTCAAGAACCTGAAGAAAAGTTCAAGATATTAATCTTTCACTATTAATTTAGGAATTTAGTAATCTAGAAAATATGGACTATGACTATTGTTTAATGATATAATATTCAAATTTGAAAGTGAATAATCGACAAATATGAATTTCATTATTTAAGCGTTCTCAATACTGTGTCATTAAATTTTCAATAACTGGATCATACTTTCATTAATATTGTGAATGAGTCATATTGTAAGAGATTATTTACAAAATAGATAAAACTATTCAAATTATTCTAAATAAACTGAGTCATATTAATATATTATTTCAACTCTTCATTGATCAAATTTGCATTAGTCTTTATTTTTAATCATATCGAACTTCAATGTTTTTCAATAAGATTATTGAATTGTCAATTCATCAAAGAGCAAAATATATATGATATTTAAATTGTTATGTTTTTCAATTTATTAAATATAAATTAAGATGCTTTTCAATTTATAAATATTTTTAAGTTACTAATATACAGGAGGTTGGATAAAATATCCCTATGGTTTTGGATATAGATCCATAAAATTAATTAGCATACATTAATATCCTCACATTAATAGTTAAGCTAAAATAACTATTAAAATAGAATGGACATAAAAGGAACCCACTTGGTAAATATTTTTTGGAATCAGAGATTTTCAGTTATTTTTAAAATCTCAACTTTTTGAGTTTACTTGTAAAGATGATAATTTGATTCCATTTGATGGATGCTTTTAATAATATTATGATTGTGTAGATGGTTGTAGTAGTTGTATTAGAGGATTATGCTTAGATTGTAAATAAGGTTGGGATTGGGTTGAAAATGATTAAAATTGTGTTCCAATCTGCGGAGATTTATAAATTACTTAATTTGAAGAATGTGATGATGGGAATAACATTCCGTATGATGGTTGTCATTTATGTAAATATTCTTGTCCTTTGAATTGTGAAATTTGTTAATTTGGTGAATGTTTGAAATGTAAAATGAAATATTAAATAAGTTTAAATAAAAAATAATGTTAACCATTTTGCTCTAATGGAATATAAATTAATTATGATATTTTTGATAAATAAAGTAACAATTAATTGGAAAGAATCAATATTTGCTAGTAAAGATGTTCAATAGAATGCAATTTGTGTATAGATGATAAATGTCTACAATGTAATGATGGATGGTAACTTTAAGATAATAAATGCCATTAAGTTTGTGGAGATGGACTAATTGCTATTAATTCAATAGAGGTATGTGATGNTATTTACAAAATAGATAAAACTATTCAAATTATTCTAAATAAACTGAGTCATATTAATATATTATTTCAACTCTTCATTGATCAAATTTGCATTAGTCTTTATTTTTAATCATATCGAACTTCAATGTTTTTCAATAAGATTATTGAATTGTCAATTCATCAAAGAGCAAAATATATATGATATTTAAATTGTTATGTTTTTCAATTTATTAAATATAAATTAAGATGCTTTTCAATTTATAAATATTTTTAAGTTACTAATATACAGGAGGTTGGATAAAATATCCCTATGGTTTTGGATATAGATCCATAAAATTAATTAGCATACATTAATATCCTTGCATTAATAGTTAAGCTAAAATAACTATTTAAATAGAATGGACATAAAAGGAACCCACTTGGTAAATATTTTTTGGAATCAGAGATTTTCAGCTATTTTTAAAATCTTCACTTTTTGAGTTTACTTGCAAAGATGATAATTTGATTCCATTTGATGGATGCTTTTAATAATATTATGATTGTGTAGATGGTTGTAGTAGTTGTATTAGAGGATTAGGCTTAGATTGTAAATAAGGTTGGGATTTTGTTGAAAATGATTAAAATTGTGTACCAATTTGCGGAGATTTATAAATTACTTAATTTGAAGAATGTGATGATGGGAATAACATTCCGTATGATGGTGTCATTTATGTAAATATTCTTGTCCTTTGAATTGTGAAATTTGTTAATTTGGTGAATGTTTGAAATGTAAAATGAAATATTAAATAAGTTTAAATAAAAAATAATGTTAATCATTTCGCTATAATGGAATATAAATTAATTATGATATTTTTGATAAATAAAGTAAAAATTAATTGGAAAGAATCAATATTTGCTAGTAAAGATGTTCAATAGAATGCAATTTATGTATAGATGATAAATGTCTACAATGTATGATGGATAGTAACTTTAAGATAATAAATGTCATTAAGTTTGTGGAGATGGAATAATTGTTATTAATTCAATAGAGGTATGTAATGATGGAAATTATAATGATGGTGATGATTGCTATTAATGTTAATTTGAATGTATACCCTATTGTTTCTTATGTTCAGATTAATCAATTTGTTTAACATGCATACAATTTTTCATTTATTAAATGATTAATGCCTTACAAAATGTGGAGATGGTATTTTAATAACTGGTTTAGAAGAGTGTGAAGATGATAATGATCAACCTTATGATGGATGTTATTAATGTAAATTCTCATGTTTAGATTTATCATATGTATTAGAAATTAAATTTTTCAATTCACTAGATTCTTAACCAATTTTAAAGGTTTCATTATTCGGTGATATAATCGATATTCACTATTTTTAAGCTTTTAAGAGTGAACAGAAGATTGCACTTTAACCCCCAAGAATATTATCTGAATCATAGATATAAACAGCAATTAATCTTAAAAATTTTAATTTTTGGATATTGATTGGATTGTGTGTTTGTGCATTTATAATGATTATATTAGGGGTTTTTTAACATTTTATGGAAATTTTAGATATACTATAATTTATCATTCTTAAAATTTTTAAATGTACCATTCCCCCAAAATGTTGAAATCTATTTTGAATCATCGAATTTTGTATAATCATTTTACATTAACTATTAAGCCTCTATTCAATTAAATATAACTGCAATATATATTCGATAATATATTTACTGCTTATCATTGTGACGGTATTGGAAAATTTAAATATTATAATATTAACGCAGATCTATTAAATAATATTTATGGACTTATCTCTCAAATTATCCTAATTTTTCATAGATATATTTCTAAGATATTTAAAAAGACAGTATTACTAATCTCACAATTTATTAAGAATTTTAAACTATTTAAGCTAAAAAAAATCAAAAATATATCAAAAGATATCGGCATTTATTTGTAATGTGACTAAAACCATAATTCAATAACCATTAATATTTAATAGAAAATTTTTATTATATTTGATTTTAGCTAATAGTTGGGATATATTATTCAAAATTTTATTATTTTTGTTTTTTTCCTAGGAATAAACTATTAGATCTCTTTTTTCCTATAGTTTCAGTATTGGATATTTAATTTTCATCATTTTAACTTTAATACAATAGTTTAGAAGATAAAATTTTAATTTAATATTGAGAGTTTTAAGAAATAAATAGCATTAAGCAATTTTGTTATTTAAAAAACTTATTTTTCTTATGATTCTCATAGGAATATAAGATCAGCCTATAACTTAATGTATTCTATTATCAGTTTTGTTGTGTACTTATTTAAGTTTCATCAACCCAGTTGAGTTTATATATTCTGATGCTGAATTGATGAATATAATGTGTTAGGATGTTTCTGTAATGTTATTTACCTTATTAAGTTTAACCTTTTGTATTGAATTTTATAGATATTTAAAGCAAATTAATATTTTATTTTAGGCTTCATATAGATTGGATTATTAATGATAGGATTAACAGGTCCTCTAATTAAATGTGCAATGAGATTTTATAAAAATGTTCAAGCTTATATTGAGAACAGAAAAGAAGTTTAGAAATAAACTGCAAATCCAAACATTCTAACTGAGCTAAAGTGTTGAAAATTTTCAATATTTTTCAATACAAAATTATATATTAAATTGATAATTAAAAGCATCTTTACAGGAAAATTACAAATTGTTTTGTAGTTCTATTTTTCAAATAATGTGAAATTTTTCAGAATTAGTTCTTAAAATT